TAATTTAACGTTTTAATGCCAGACATTTTAAACCCGGCATGTAAACTCGATACCGCTACTGGGAGTGGGGGAGGAAAACACACTTCCTTTAACATAAACACATACACTGTAACTTTAGAGAATATTTTTCTTTCAAAACTAAAGCCACCCTTCACCCTGGGGACATACCCACAAAACTTGTAACGAGTTGAACTGCTGATAAAAAAATATTCAAACAATTTCGATGGATTTTAAAGCCAAAACTTTGTAGTACAATTTTTAAACTGGTTTCCATATCCCAGGTGAAAATTGAATCCCATATACCAGATTTCAATTAGATCCCTCATCCCTGAATATTTCCGTTTCCCCATCAAGTTTGAAACCATTTCTAATTTAAAAAGTTATATCTTTGATATGAGTACAAATAGAATTTTTTTTTTCGCCTTAGACATGTAATTTACAGCGTCAGTTGTGTGTTCGCTTTAGTATTACAGTTTTCATGAGTACAAATAGAATTTTCTTTTCATTAGTATTAGTCTGCTTTAAAATTCTCTGTTTCAATGTCTGACATAATGCTTCCACCGAGTACAATTAGAATAAAAGTACAGAGTTTCTTCCAGGCATCTCTTCGGGGGGGCGAAGCCCCCCCGAAAATTTTTTACCGCCCCCCCGAACGGAATGAAATTTATATAATTTATATAGAAAATATATACTTTTAACAGTGTCCGCCCCCCCCCCCCCCCCCCCCGAAGAAAGTCTACCGCCCCCCCGAAAATTTCAAGTGCCCCCCCGGAGAAAAAAGTCTGGAAGAAACACTGAGTACAAACAATATCTATTGCAGTCCTAACAAGTGATAGCCATATAGTAACTAAAATAAAAGCCATAAAGATGTAAGTTATTAGTGGTTTTAAAAAATGCCATTTCATACTTAAAGAATAAATTCGATGCACATGTAGTAGTTATACGTTAAAAAAAACCTTCCCTTCTGACATTAACGATGTAAACTTTCTAAGTGCTTACACGTGGGGAGATGGAGACTGTTTACATTCGTCCAGGCAAACTAAAGCAAGAGTAAGCTCCCTTATCATTTCTCGATAACTCGTGTTTAACACTACAGTGAGGGTTGGGATGTCGCTTCCAATGGTATCGGGCTATAGACTGGTTGGTGACTTAGTGATACAATCGATCGGTTTTCGAATAATGCGAAACGTTCTTATAATAGGCTGCTGTATAAATATGGTATGAAAGTATTAGCTTATAAAGGTTTTTGAGAAACCGAATAAGTGAAGAAAGTACCACTTCCGGTAACTGGAAATCGCTCTAAAGTTTAAATTAACATACGTATAGGTCATAGGATCTAGTAAGTGTATATGAAATTTCGTCTAACAGAAACCAGTAGCGTAGCGAGGGGGGGGGGGACATATGTCCCCGGGCGCCGACCTTAGGGGGCGCCAAAATGGGTTGGAAAGATAAATTGAAAGGTTGAGGGTGGTGTAAATCGAAAGTTTGAGGGGGGGGGGGGGTGCAAATGGAAATCTTGAGGGGGGGGGGGGGGTGCAAATCGAAAGTTTGAGGGGAGGGGGTGCAAATGGAAATCTAGAGGGGGGGGGTGCAAATCGAAAGTTTGAGCGGGGGGGGGGGGGGGTGTAAGAAGAAATCTCGAGGGGGGGGGGGTGCAAATCGAAAAGTTTGTCCCCGGGCGCCGGGAAGGGGTCGCTACGCCTCTGACTGAAACGGTACTCAAGCTATCGTTTTTTTTTTGACAAACCAGAAATAGTGTAAAGAACCACTGAGCCAATGAAGCTAATCTTACTACATTATCTTACATATGTAAAACTAAACTTAATTTGAGACAATAAATAATTAAAAAAATAATAATAACATCTAACGTGTTCGTGGTTATTACAATTTAGGTTAGGTTTAGGAAAAGTATCATCGTTAATAACCTATGGTATGTAACTCCGTAAACAAAGTTTAGTTATCATACTCTAGTTTAAAATGTATTTTACTTATTATCGAAATGAGAAATTGGTCGAAAGAATATTATCATAGAACAGGCTTACAGTTATTTAACAATTTATTTGTGTGTGTGTGTGGGGTGGGGGTGGGGGGTGGGGGGGGGGGGGTGGGCGAGTGTAAAGGTTGTGGATAACGACGTACACTTTAATTAATGAATTGCTCAAAGCTGGTTGATATGGTAACTTGACACACAAGCAATTAATTTTAATTGTAATCAAATATTTTAATTTTCTTAAATCATTTATTTCCCGTCAGCAATTAGATTTTAATTAACTTAATAATTTAAGATCGTGATCACTTAAAGAACATTTGTAAGGGGTGTTTTGACTCAACCTTGATGGGAAGACAACTCGAGTATCATAGGTTAGCTAATGTTTAATGATATGTAGCCAGACAATATGTGCAGTTCAGGACGTCCTAAGCTCAGGACGTACGTACATCAGGACATCTTAGACGTTCTTAACTCAGACTTTCTAAACTCGTGACGTTCTTAACTCAGACTTTCTAAACTCAGACGTTCTTAACTCATACTTTCTAAACTCAGACTTTCTTAACTCAGACTTTCTAAACTCGTGACGTTCTTAACTCAGACTTTCTAAACTCAGACGTTCTTAACTCATACTTTCTAAACTCAGACTTTCTTAACTCAGACTTTCTAAACTCGTGACGTTCTTAACTCAGACTTTCTAAACTCGTGACGTTCTTAACTCAGACTTTCTAAACTCAGACGTTCTTAACTCATACTTTCTAAACTCAGACGTTCTTAACTCAGACTTTCTAAACTCAGACGTTCTTAACTCAGACTTTCTAAACTCAGACGTTCTTAACTCAGACTTTCTAAACTCGTGACGTTCTTAACTCAGACTTTCTAAACTCAGACGTTCTTAACTCAGACTTTCTAAACTCAGACGTTCTTAACTCAGACTTTCTAAACTCAGACGTTCTTAACTCAGACTTTCTAAACTCGTGACGTTCTTAACTCAGACTTTCTAAACTCGTGACGTTCTTAACTCAGACTTTCTAAACTCGTGACGTACGTACCTCAGGACTTCGCCACTCAGACGTTCTTAACTCAAATTGTTAATAAAAAAGTAGTATTGTTAAAACAAAATCCTATACTTTAATGCTATAATGAGGAGTACTGCAAGCATATGTTAAGTTTTTTTAAGACTCATTATTTTGCTCCTCTCCATGTAAATATTTCGTTTTTTTTCTTCTAAAAGTTAATGTTTATTTATGAAAATATTTAAATCAACAGATTTGTTACACATGGACATACAACCGCAAGTGTTGGCTTTCTTTAATGTTTACCATTCATTCATTCATTCATTTATTTTTACCCTACAATATATGGTATGAAAAATGGTCTTTGAGACTCATTTGAGACTCTCCACTGCAAAATATAATTAGTAATAATTAGGATGATTTAGCAAAGATTGGTCTCATATGTTGGTCGTTTTACATTAAACATGTTTAAAAAATAGGCCTAATTAGTAGCAATATGTAAAGGTGAAAACAAATTTTCGATAGACAGTGTAGTTGGGATTGTTGAACTTTAGACAATATGACCATATCAGGAGGACGAATTCGATCACAGAGATCGCTCATCTTTTGATAGAAGGGCGATAACGATACACCTTCGTAACAAGGTGGTCGCCCGCTTTGATGGCAGAGACAGTAGAGGCGTAGCTAGGGGAGGGCGGGTGGGGCGGTCGCCCCGGGCGCCGAACCTAAGGGGGCGCCAAACGGGGTAAAAAAAATTAAAACTCATTCTGAGCTGCATTACTGATTGATACACATTCAAAGTTTTAAAAAGATATAGGCTACTGCTTGGCTTTCCTGAATAACTAGACAGTTTTTGATTTTGTTAAAGCATACTGACAACTGTCACGGTATAGTGACTACTAACACTGGGTAAGGAGGGGGGGGGGGGGGCTTTGTTTTGCTCTTTTTGCGCAAATTTGAAAAGTTCGCCCCGGGCGCCGGAATGAGTCGCTACGCCCCTGAGAGACAGACCCCAAGGGAGTAGACATTCATTCTTCGTGAACAGTGTATCAACAGCCAAAGAGTTATTTGTGTTGAAATTAATGATCATGTGACAAATTAAAAAATAAATATCGACGGAGGTCATTTTAACAATCAAATACTATTAAAAATAAAATTTCATTTTAATTAGTCAAACTAATTCATATACATAGATAACTTGAATACCGTTATAGCTAGGTTGATAAAATTTCATATATAAAGTATATATCAAATTTGTAGATCTGTATCAACTTTTCAGCAATTTCTGATAACCGGAAGTGGAACTTATTCAACTATCAATTTTTCAAAAGCCTATAACTTAAGTACTTTTTCAGATAGATAAATGAAATTTCACACGTAAGTAAAAGATCTAATTTTCTGCCTTCTGTACAATTTTGAGTAATTTCCGTTGACCGGAAGTAGTAATTTACGCTATTTCCGATTTCTCAAAAAAATGCATGTGAATTTATAAAGTACTAATAATATTCCGCACTATTATACACATTTTGTTTGGCATTCACTTGGTGCACAATTATTTTTTCTAGGAGATTCTACTCTATTTTAAAAAGTCTAAGTAATTAAAAATTGATTAACAATAGTGTCTATATCCCGAGTAGCCATCCCCCCCCCCCCCGTAGTTTAGGGGAGATCGCTCCCGGTTTATTTAAATAAGGGAAGCTACTCTTTTAAATAGAAACTTTATAAATATTTGTAGTGGTTTTTCCCCCTTAAAAACATTGTTAAGTAAATTATGACAAAAAGCAGCTATTGTTAACACGTGGTTGCATTTTATTCAGTTTAATGGCTGTTTATATAAATGATTATTATATATAACAATAAAAATACTTAATTATTTTACTAATGTTTCACTAAAACTTTTAGACATGAAATTTTGATTAGATATTGTACCCTAATATTGTGCCCCTTGTATTAAATCTCATTTTTTTAATTTATCGTTGCCATATCCGGTTTAAAAATGTTTATAAATGGCGTCTGTTGAATCACACGCAAATGGTGAGAAAGATTTTAGGTTTAGTTTTATTTGTCAAAGTATAAGATAATTTATTTAGCGTGAATTTATATATAATTATAATTTATGCACCATACAACTTAATACAAGTTACTTCAGTTTCTTGATTTAAAAATGTATTGAATCTAAAAGTGGAAAAAGATTGAAAACCTCGTCAGCTTGTTTTAATAAATTTTAATTTACTTAAATATTAATAGTTGAACAGTATAGTTAATATGATGATGGGTTAATAGTAGTTAATACTATTAATAATAGGCAGACGCTGGGCTAATAAATTATATTATTTTAATGCTAAAATTTAGAAACACTAATTAGAAAAATAAAATGATAACCCAGATAACGCCTTTATAATAATTGGTAATCTATCGTTTTAGGTACGTAAAATCGCCCGCGACTTGTAATGTGAAATCAGGTGACTCCTTAAATTTTACTAATTATTTCACATTTTGAGGAGGATTTATGTTTTTTAAAATACAAAGATGTTTCTTTGTTTCATTTATGTACCTGTTTTTAAACAATTGAATTAAAACTTTTCCGTAATAAATGAAGACTAGCGATGTTTCCAACAGATGCAACCATGCTCATTTACTATAGCAGCCATCTTGTTTAAGTTTTATTTTTATAAGCTTTTAGCAGGAGATTCAGGGGGAAGCCACTCTATTTTACAAATGGCTGCTATATATAGCAAATCTTGCTCTCAGACACTGCTGTTTAAAGTTAATTTCTGGCCTATATCGATATATTTAGCCATTGATTTAGGTTTATTATTCATTTATCTATAATATTTGACACAAACATATTACAATATACTTCTGTTAAAGCCTTGACAATGAGGTAACGTTTTCGTAGATTAATAGCCGCGGGCGATTTTACGTACCTAAAACGATAGATTACCTAATAATTGATTACTACTCTTGCAGTATTTTTAGTACGTTACAAAAAGTTACAATAGAATTGTTTGGTAGTAGGCCTAATTACTACCTATCACAAGGCTATCAATAGTATAAATTTGTAAGTAAAGCTATACCAACCAAGATCAGATTTTTATGGCTTATCCCTATTACTTATTACTATTATAGCCCTACAATTGTCTAATTGTTAATTGTCCAAAATTGCTGATAAACTTATTAACTCAGTTAATGAACTGGTATTAAGAGCAAAGCTATTTATTTCTTGTACTTAAAGATGGAGTTATTACTAAACAAATGCTCAAGTCCAAAAGTGGAGAGTTTGATCTTGAAAGTATTCATACCATGTCTTTAAAAGAAATGGGTAAGTTTAATTCTCTTTTAGTTTAAAATTTAACTCATACATTTAAGTCCAAACTGTGGTTTAAAAAATTCTGTGAAAATTGTGAATGGTTTAGGTGATAATTCATCCAGCCTGATAGGGTAATTTTTATAATGTGATTTCTTTTGATAAGACGATATCAAGAAAATATTAACTATAACTAAAAATCTGCAAAGATTTTATAAGGAGATTTGGTTTCAAAATTATGTTCATTCCTACATATTATTGAAATATATTATTAAAATACAATTAAATTAATATTATTTTTCTCTTCATCTTAATTTTTATTTTGCAGGTATTTTTGACCTTGGAGTAGTCGGAGAATGTACTGGACTAGAGAGACTAGACCTATCTTATAATGCACTTACCAGGTTGAATAAATTAGCCAGCTTGACTGCGCTTACTAAATTAAATCTTTCTGCCAATAGATTAACTTCATTAGGTTAGTAAAGATTAACTTTGTTAGATGTGTAAAGATAAAATTCATTAGGTAAGTAATGATTGAATTGACTTGGTTCATAAAGATTAAATTCATTAGGTAAGTAAAGATTAACTTCAATAAGTGAATAAAATTTCAATTAATTTAATTCATGCAATTTGTTGATTTGTACACTGTGTTAAATAATTATGAGAGGATTCTTTATTAAAGAAATAATTTAATTGAATCAAATTTATTTTCAGATGGATTACAATCACTTGAAAATTTACAGAGTCTGAATGTAAGTGGAAATTTACTTGGAAGGTAAGTTTGTAGCTAATGTTTGTAATGGTACATTGAGAAGATAGCAGTACAATCTTCACTGACTAGGAATGTTTTAAATAATGTGCTATATTAAAATAATATTAATTTTCTAAATTCACAAGGCAAAACAAAAACAAACCTAAATTTTTACCAGGCTGTTAGCAATGATAACTGTCAGTTTCTTTCAACTAGAATCTTTTAAATCTCTTTACACATAAAAATCCCTCATAATGGGACATTGTAGTTTATTGGTAGAGCATACAACTTCTAACTCAAAAATTTTCAAGTTCAAATCTGAGTTAAAGTCTGTAGAATGTCTATGTGTCTACCAAGTTCTGATGGGTACCTAACTCACATTGGAAGGTAAAGACTGCTGGGTATATTGCTGACCACACTATCCCGTCATATGCTAAGATCACATATTTTTAACTAAAATTTAAGTTTCTTTTTGAAGCTTTCCATGGGGAAAGTAGAGTTCATCTGAATTGGTTCAAAAAGAACTTTACTTTTTAAAAAAAAAAACAACTATATTTATGCTTTAAATAATAAAATTAAAATTCTAAATAAATAAAACAATTAAAATATGTATTTAAAAAAAAATCATGAACAGTGTAGATGTTTTAAGAACAGTCAGCAACTTGGAAAAGCTGACAGACCTTCGACTACAAGATCAAGCTTTAGGTCTCACCAACCCAATGTGTAACACTAGCTATACTGATGATGTGCTTATCATGTTGTCTCATTTAATTACACTAGATGGTAAGTCATTTTAAATATCTTGTTTTTATTTCAAAGTCAATTTTAATTAGGGTTTAATTTTTAAAAAAATTATAATACTGACAATAGGTACATTAATTTATTTTGTAGCATAGCGTATACATTGAGAAATAGATAATGATTAAATGTGTTTGTTATATAAGGACAGAGAGTCCGTGGCAAAGGGAGTGAACTGTTTAAACTATGTAAAGAAATGGATTGGGCTCTTAAAAGTGAGTAGTTTCCCTTACCTCACTTTCTTGCTTTTTACAACTGTAAAATCAAATTAAGAAACTTTTTTTTAAATTCATTTTTTGTTGTTTTTAAATTTAAAATAAAATGTTTTAAGTTTATAGATTCAAAAATATTTTGTAAAGTGTGATTAGAGAATAAAATTGTCTTTTGAATTTTAGATTTGCCATCTTTGCGTAGTTTGGACCTGAAAGACAATAGCAGTGAAATAGTCGTGCAACAGTGGGTGGTAGACGTCACACCAAAACGTGACAAAGTGCTGGATGCTGAAGAACAGCTGACAGGTAGGTGCTAGCAGTGGCATAGCTAGGGGATGACGGGTGGGGCGGCCACATTGGGGGATAATCCTAGGTTCCTAGGGGCCGCCAAATGGGGTAGAAGAAAAATAAAAAGCTTATTCTGAGCTGCATTACTTAAATGTACACAGCTTTCGTGACTGATTGAACTGTTTTCTACTTCAGTTGTGCAATATCAAAATAAAAACTATTACAGGACAGTGACAAGTAAACGGTGCACCCAACCTTAACAAATTTGGGGGAGGGGGGGGATTACTATTTCACCAACTTGAAAAACTATGTATATAAATTGGGGGGGGGGGGGGGTTAAATACTGATAGTTTTTGCTAGGTGGCTGAATGGGTTGCTCCACCTCTACAAGCAGGTATGTTGGTTGTGCCAGGCAGGTGTGTATTTTTACATAGCGTGTGTTGTACATTTTATATTATTATTAGCAATGATGGGAAACACCAATCTGTAATAATTTTCCAACTCACTTCTTATCACTGCTGTACTTATCTGAGGTAAATAAATACATTCTCAATTCTTTACCATTTTATTATTTTTGTTCTCATTTCTTCATTCTGTAAATTACTTTGATTTAGTAAACTAATACAAATCTGTCTTTTAATTCTTCCAGCTATGCTAGCCAGTTGTAAAAAGTTGAATGAACAAGCTGAACAAGTGCTAGAGGATATCAAACTGTCAGAGACAAATTTAAGTTGATGTGGGTTGTGTGAAGATGTTCAGCTTGTGGTAGATGACTTGTGATATAGTACTCAGCACTTGCATGATGTATCTAATGCTGAGATTTTGAGATGAGGTTCTCTTTTCATTGTTGCTAACACATTGTCACTCTGTCTGAATTGTGGAAAGTACTATGCATGCTGTACTCATAGTACTCATTGTCACCAACGAAACAAAATGCCTAAACTCACAGGCAACCAGACTCACAAGCATTCCAGACTTACAGGCATTCTAAACTGACAGGCATTCCAGACTCACAGGCATCAAGGACTCAAAGGAATCTTCGACTCACAGGCATTGCAGACTCACAGGCATTCCAGAGTCACAGGAATCCTCACAGGCATCCAGAATGAACAGAAAACTTCCTCTGTGATCAAGAGATATTAGACTTTTTGTCACATGACCAATCCATACCTCATCAAACACCTGATTGAACATTTAAATATTCATTTCCAAATCTGTGATATTTACTACCATTTTGTGGGAATAATTAATTGCTCTTTAGAATTTAAGCCTGTCTGTTTATTAAATCTATGTGCTAATAGTATTAAATACAATTCTCTAATGTAATGTAACATTTGTGATTTTGTCTTATTAATCCAAAGAAAGGGACAATAGAGAAGCCTGGCAACTCAATGCATTTTTCTCCTTGATGACTTCATATAAATATTGTTTGAAATATACCTAATAATTGATTGAATGACAGAAAAAAAAAATGCCTTTAAGGGCAAAGGTCATAAACATAGGTAAATAAAAGAGTTATGTAAGATTTTCATGTAAAGTCTGTCTATTTTACTACATCATGGGTTACAGTATGCTACTTTACACAATTTTTAGCATTAATACATGGGTATTTTTTTTTTCTGAAGTCCTTTGCTAAGTTATTCCATAATTACTCTAATTAAATGCATTGAACAAGCAACAAAAATTTGATATTTTTTTGCATTTTATGTAAATAGAAATAAAAAGAATTGAATGGCTTGCTGATTTTATAAGCATAAAAACTGTACAGAGATATTTTTTTTATCAATTAAACCTTTTTTTTTTTATAGCAACCCAGCATATAGACAAGTCCAACATTTACTCTATTGTGTATGTGTTATATGTTTTAACACATGTGTTAGCCAGATTTTTGTTTCTTTATTATTGTAAGCCAGTTAAAAAACTCTGGACAAGAATTTCAGCTTGATAACTTTGTTTGTGTTATCTGATTATTTTTAATTAAAATTCTCTGCATTTGTTTTTGTATCATATTCCATTTATTTTTTTATGCCGATCACATTTTTCTAAGGTTGAAATGGCCAACAGATAATGGGAAATCATCTTTCGAGTTCCAACCTGATAAAAATAATAATGTTTTTAATCACATGGAAAAAAGCAAGAACTCTTAGAGTAAGGGTCTACTGTGTTTTTTTAAAATGTGACAGCTTCAAGATTTCCAGATTTACGTTTTATAATTGATTTTGTCTTACATGTTTCAGGTGGATACAGACTTACAAAATTGAACCATTTGAAAATAAAACAATTTTTGTAAATGTCTTTCTGGTTTTATGTTTCTGCTGTCTTGCAGTAAGCTGGTTGATGTAAGATAGCTATGAGAAACTGGTTCTCTGTGTCACAAAGAAGATTTTGTGCAAAGACCTGTGAACAATGACATTCTGTGTAAATGATTTCCTATGTACAATGAAATTTAGTGTTAAATGATGTCCTAAAATTCATTGTAAAGTGATTTCATATCTACAGTGAAATTCTGTGTAAAATGATGTCCTAAACATCATTGTAAAATGATGTCCTATGCACACTGAAATTCTGTGTAAAGTGGTCTTTTATATTATCTGTATAGGGCCTACAGCTTAACGTCATGGATAAAATGAAGTTCTGTATAAGAGAAGTATAAAGAAAAGATCTATATAAAGCTCTATCTAAGCGAAGTATAAAGAAAAGATCTATATAAAGTGAAGTTCCAAGAGAAGTATAAAGAAAAGATCTATATAAATATTATAAAGTTCTGTGTGAAGGTTGTTTTCAAAAAGAATTTCAATGTTTAGTTTACTCTCTAATAAGTGAAGTGCTGTGTAAAGAAGTCATATGTAAAGTACTATGTAAAATAAAATTGTGTAAAATTATGTTCTATGTAAATTCAAGGGGTTTACTATTTAATAGCTTTAAACGAGAGTTGTGAGTCAGAAAAGCCTTAGTCTAATTATTTTAAGTTTAAAGGACCTAGTAAATTACGATCGATTAAATTCGGAGAATTTCTAGCCTTTGACGGCTAAACTTGGCAGCCTCATTCTGAAATAGGTTTGGATTGGCGTCGACTTCCTTTGGCTTCAGCAAACGACACAGACAAATTTAATTTAGGCCAATATGGCGTGATTGGGTATCGCTCGTTCTTTAACGTTTGATTTAACCCATATCGAATCTAACTGGTATCGTAATTTTCTTACAACAGCCGTATCGACTACACCTGACAGCAATACTAACAAAAGACGGGTACAAATTTGGCTAGTTATAATCCCCTTATGATAAAGTCTAGTAGCTCAATGAGTAGACCTATCATAGTAACTGGTAGCTCAGCAAGTAGCCCTATCCTAGAGACATTAACACTTAATTTCTCACCCCGACTTAGATCTACTTATCAAGAGACCCTCTAAAAGTCTGGAATATTTCTCTCGTACTGTCGATTATACTTTAATGGATACAATCTCATTGTTCTACATCCAAGTCTTTTCCCTGTTAATATAATGCTAGTTTGCTAAATGACCCTCCAAAACTTGATGACTACAATTATGGTATAGTACATGATAACCTACCAATAGAGCGTAGAGGACAGTGGCGATGTTGACGAGTGAGTGTAGGTAGACGAAACGTTGATATGTAGAAGAAAAAATAAATAAATTTGGGGTTAAAAGGGGGGGGGGGACTATTTGGCTGAAGTATTTTTTAAAAGGGGCTGATATTTTGACGATGGGAAGAGGGGGTAGGTAAAAAAAAACATTTATGGACAACAGAAAACTGGTCATAATACACATTTGTTAAAGAGCCCCTTACGGCTGTGGTGTAGCTTTGATTGGATGGACCAACGCCAGCTTTACCTACTAGAGCACCTACACAAAATAAATAATGGGGAGTCGTCAAAATCACAATGTGGCTAAAATTTGTAGCTAGGACCCTATAGTTAGGACCATACCAGGGTCCTAGTTAAGTTTAGTAGAAAGGCCGATGTAAAGTACCAACGTTTGTAGCTACGCCCTTGCCCGAGACCAAGTTAAGTTCAATAGCTAGTCTGATGTAAAGTACCAACGTTTGTAGCTACGCCCCTGCCCGAGACCAAGTTAAGTTCAATAGCTAGTCTGATGTAAAGTACCAACGTTTGTAGCTACGCCCCTGCCCGAGACCAAGTTAAGTTTAATAGCTAGTCTGATGTAAAGTACCAACGTTTGTAGCTACGCCCCTGCCCGAGACCAAGTTAAGTTCAATAGCTAGTCTGATGTAAAGTACCAACGTTTGTAGCTACGCCCCTGCCCGAGACCAAGTTAAGTTTAATAGCTAGTCTGATGTAAAGTACCAACGTTTGTAGCTACGCCCCTGCCCGAGACCAAGTTAAGTTCAATAGCTAGTCTGATGTAAAGTACCAACGTTTGTAGCTACGCCCCTGCCCGAGACCAAGTTAAGTTCAATAGCTAGTCTGATGTAAAGTACCAACGTTTGTAGCTACGCCCCTGCCCGAGACCAAGTTAAGTTCAATAGCTAGTCTGATGTAAAGTACCAACGTTTGTAGCTACGCCCCTGCCCGAGACCAAGTTAAGTTCAATAGCTAGTCTGATGTAAAGTACCAACGTTTGTAGCTACGCCCCTGCCCGAGACCAAGTTAAGTTCAATAGCTAGTCTGATGTAAAGTACCAACGTTTGTAGCTACGCCCCTGCCCGAGACCAAGTTAAGTTCAATAGCTAGTCTGATGTAAAGTACCAACGTTTGTAGCTACGCCCCTGTCTCATGTGGCTACTGTTAAAAAAAAAACTCACACAAGATGGTGGGTGTTGGGCGATGACAAGGTATGCAAATCTTACACAAGGCTTGATGAGACTGTTTGTCGGCTGAAATCTATTTACGGCACAACTCTCCTCCCTGCGGTAGACTGGAATAACTCTGGAAACCTGATCATGGTCTGGGTGACTTCCCCTTGTCGTGGTACCATATCCTGCTGTGCGATAGAGGATTTGAATCCCATAGCTGTGACCCAAAGCTCAGTTACTAACGACACGACCCATCCCTTATTTTTTAAATATTTTTTTCTGACCGATTTGCTAATAAAATTGAAATTATTATGTGGCGAGTTCACGAAAGAGTGTGACACCACGTGTCACGGTAAAGTGTCACGTGATCATTGTGTCAATTTAAACAAATGCGTGACAGCCGAAATTTGACATTTTTGTTATTTATGCCAGGGTGTGATTGACACTGTCCAGCAGTAATGTCTTGTAGATGGACGTCTGAACTTAGCTGTCTCTGTGATGTATTTCATTAGGACGCTCATTAGTTGGGGAACTTTGGATGTTATATTTATAAATATAGCTATAGAGAGGAAGGTTTGAGTTTTGTTTTCTCTTCTACATTTTTCACATGGTCACCACAAAATGGTCACCATCAGGTGGTAACCACAATGTGATCATCACCTTATATTCACCACAAGATGATCACCACCTTAGAGTCACCACAAGATGATCACCACATTAGAGTCAACACAAGATGGTCACCACCTTAGTCACCACAAGATGGTCACCACCTTAGAGTCACCACAAGATGGTCACCACCTTAGAGTCACCACAAGATGGTCACCACCTTAGAGTCACCACCTTAGAGTCACCACAAGATGGTCACCACCTTAGAGTCACCACAAGATGGTCACTACCTGAGAGTCACCACAAGATGGTCACCACCTTAGAGTCACCACAAGATGGTCACCACCTTATAGTCACCACAAGATGGTCACCACCTTAGAGTCACCACAAGATGGTCACCACCTTATATTCACCACAAGATGGTCACCACCTTATAGTCACCACAACACGCATACAATAACATGATTACCAAAAAAAACGACCACCACAAGATGGTTACCATACAATGGTCACCATCTTAGAGTAAATAAAAGATGGTCACCACAAGATAGTCACCACAAGATGGTCACCACCTTAGAGTCACCACAAGATGGTCACCACCTTAGAGTCACCACAAGATGGTCACCACAAGATGGT